CACATGCGGAAATGATAAATCAAACATAACATAACCAAGGAACTTCCACACTGAAGTCCTTTCTCCTGTAACCAAACCCTAAACCGCGAATTGACAACTTCCTTCCATTGTCCCTTTTACCTCACACGACCCTAACCACAAAAGCTAAAAAGCCAGTGATCCGACTCTGTAATACCACGGCCCTAGGCTGCAATCCTGTTCCTCCGTGACTAGCGATATCTAGAATTGTCAACCGCTCTCTTCAATTGTTAGAACGTTACATGATCCTCTTGATCACTTGTAACGCCTAACCTCACACAACATAAAATTTTACCTTTGACCCGTATGTATCTAAACAGATCACACGCGGATCAGCTTCCTCTTGAAATCCTGCATCCACAAAGGTTAGCGGTAAATACAAACATAAACATCCCATGACTCATGCAGCATACAATCACACAATAAAACATCATGCACAAACAACCAAAGAAAACACTTAACCAAATTCCTAAAATTCTAGCACGAACCTCTACGACTATAAAGCATAAGAATAAACAAGCAACGTGTGCCCTACTCATCTAGCACACGGCAAACATCACCAAGACTCACCTTGTTCGAACGGTTAGAGCTTAGATTCAGACTTAGGCTCTAGACCAGATCTTCCTTCACTTAAAACGAACAGAGCCTAGACTAGATTTTCGACTATTCTTGCTCCTAATCGATGGCTCACGACAACGGCCTAGCTGGATCACGATCATGAACAAAGATTCGGATTTTCTATACTGATTTTGTCAGAGATTTGGAACGAAAACTATGAAGAAAATAGGAGCTACTTAGGTCATATTTATAGGGTTAAAGAAGCAGGTACTCACAGGAGGACGGTCAGTGTGTATGTGTCGTGCTTCCTGATGAGTCGTTGCACACGGTCGCGACACCTCGTGCTTGCGGATTTGTCGTGCTTGTGGATTTGTCGTGCTTCCGATGACTCGTCACACAAGATCGCGACATCTCGTGCTTACGGGATTTGTCGTGCTTCTGACTTGTTGTGCTTGCGGATTTGTCGTGCGTGTCGATTTGTCGTGCTTTTGATGACTCGTCACACAAGATCGCGACACCACATGCTTACGGGATTTGTCGTGCTTCTGACTTGTCGTGCTTGTGGATTCGTCGTGCTTGTTGATCCCAAGCACGTCAATCCCGAGCAGCTGTGTCGTGCTTCCGCAAACCTTTATATTTTTATGAAAATATCAAGTTTGAAAGCACCATGCCACCTCGTGCTTCTCGCCACGTCGTGTTTCGGACCACCTCGTGGTTAAAATCCCGTCATGTTTGACAATTTTTCTTCCATCAACTAGGTCTTGGCTCGATCATCTTCCGTAACTGTTTTGATCTCTTGACAGTGTCATTACATTGGCTCTGGTTAAAGTTGACTAATTTTATACCTAATTTGGTTGAGTCAACATAAGTTTGTGTATTTTATGGCTCATTAAGAAGTTGATATTTTTTGGGTTCAAAATGGAAAGTTTGGTATTAAAATGACCTTACGAAGTTTTTTTTTTCTAATTTCAAAACGACGCTATTTTGAAACTTAACGGATAAAGTAAACGGTATTTAACGATTTTTTAGTGGCTGTTAAAATTGACTAATTTTATACATAATTTGACCGAATCAAACAAAGTTTTGTATTTTTTTTATTCATTAGAAAGTTAGTACTTATTTTGGCTCAAAACGAATAGTTTGGTATTAAAATGATTGTTTATATAGATCTATTATTTTGTCGGATCTATCGGTCGGATCCTAATTAGGTGGTTTAATGTATGGTTCCTAGATATCAAGCCCTTATAAGACATTTCATTTTATATCTTAATTAAATGGTATTAAATATCTTACGACAAATTCTAATCTTATCCGAAATTAAAATGTCAAATCATGAGAAGTTGTCCCACACATGTGCCTTTACATATCGTCCATAATCCAATAATTTTGTTTTGTTTGTATTTGGTTGCATTGAAACAAGAGAGATAGTTTGATACCAAAAGCCGCCGCAAATGCTAACATGTCTTCGAGAGCTATCTGTTCAAAGTCTTTTGGATTTTCTTACAGTGCCGTTCTAAACATTTGGTTGATGAGAGATCAGAGTAACTTCTAACAAAATAAGTTTTCTTTTTATATGGATCGCTGATGATTTCTTCTTTTCAGATTTTAACCCTTATTAATTAAATTGTTATATACGTCGGTCAACAAAATT